GCCGTCAGCTGGGAGCTGTGGTAGAGCATGGGGCAGCTCTGTACACAGGGGCTCCCCAGCCGACCGCCCTGCTGGGGTCTTGGCAACTCATCGCCCAAGCAGGAACGATGGTTCCCCAAGATCCCTGAGAGCACAGACACATTAGTCAGAAGTCCTGGTGATGGGTGGCTGTGGGCCGTGCTAGCACTGTGGCCAGGCAGCAGCGGCAGCAGCGGGGACACCGCAGTGCTACCCCGTGTCTGGGGCTAGGGGACTGGGGGTCATCTCCAGCACAGATTTCTCCTCCCCCTCTTCCCCTCCCCTGTCCCTTTTGTGGACCTTCTCGTGGCAGTGGGGAGTTTAGCCCTGCAGAACAAACCCTGGTGTAACCCAATGGTGTAGTTTGAGCAACATGGTCATTTCCATTCCAGTCCAGATCTTGGAGTGCAAAATCCCCAAATCCTTATCTTTCTGGCCTAACCTTTTCCAGGTTAGATAAAGTTCTCAAGAAATCCCTTTTGGTCTCACGAAGATCTTGGTGGCGTTTCTGTCAGAACAGCAGCAGTGAACCACACACACACACATATATACACGTGTAGGATTAGTGACACTTTTTTAGGGCTGGAGTTTGGAGAAACTGAGTAGTCTTGTAACTCTTCTGTTTACATAACAAATTCAGAATGAGGGAACCACATGGTAGGATCCAAGTAATTGTGTTTACTAAATATGCACAGCATGCGAGGCCAGGCTTAGTTATATATACACACTGCTGCTCCAACAGGATTTTGGCAGCCTCCAAAACAGAAAAGGCATTGAGCGACTTGAATTGTACCCTCTTAGTCAAGCAGGAGGCTCAAACATGGAAAATGCACAGCAAACGAAGGCCAAGCTGAACATACGTGCATGCCTAATTCAGGGGCTCAGGAGCAGGGAACAGCTAAGTAGAAATGTGCCATAAATGAGCTTTTCCATTGCTGCCTTCCTACCTTCCAGGGCAAAAGCTGTGCAAATCCAATAGACCTTTGGAGAATTGCTCAGCTCTTTATTTTTTCCAAGATACATAGCAAAAAGGGAATTTCTGTTTACGTTCTCACAAAGTGACTGGCTAAATAATTCCAGATGATGGAATTTTCTTCTGTCCTTAAAGCAAAACAAAATCTTAACCTTCACCAGTCTCTAAATGATATTGAGACTATGATAAGAAATCTTCACTTCAGCATTCAAAAAGTAGCTAAGAACAACATAAAATTGGAAAAATAACCCTAACTCTGCCCCTATGTCCATGTGCAACACAGTCTTGGGTTGTATATTCACATGGTCTTTCTTTGGGATGTCTTCTATTTTTCCCTGCAGTTTTTAGGAAACAGCTGTAGCAGTTTTAGGTAACAGTTGTAGCAGCTTTTAGCATGTTATGGCGCTATGAATTCCTGAAAACTAGCTATCTGGAAAGGGCACTATAGCTTATTACCAACAACGTGTAATGCCCATATCAGTGAATTCTGAAAAAAATGGGAAGTAGTGATTTTCATCCCCTGTTAGGCCAAATATTTTTCTAGCCAGTTTTCAGCCTGAGAATATGAAGCCACTTTTGCATCTTTTTCTTTATAGGATGTGGTAGAGAGGAAGAATTTTAGCTTCCTTTTTGTTAGCTTGGCAGATGAGCTGTTTACCAGTTTTTCACATGAAAAGAAACTGAGGAAAAAACAGAATAGATAAAAGAAAAAATATTCTATGTGAAATTGTTGATTTTGATTTAAAAGTGTATTTTCCAAATGAAACGAAATGTCATTGTAAGCGGAGCTATAATGATCAATGATTACAGGTGTACTTGCTTCTGGGTTTGGACAGAAGAACAGACTGCAAGCTACACACATCACTCCTGTTATCATGTATTGTCTAGTGTTTCATAATTTCAGACAGCATTTCAAAAGGAATACAAACTTTTAAAAAAACCCAAAACGCTAATTTAAAGTGAAATGCCGTTGCACAGTATCAGCTGGCAATGGAAAATGTCATGTCAACATACATCATCACGGTGAGGTACCTGAGTGAAAATATGTAGACTTTTTTTGCACAATCAAAAACCTACACACTAACTTCTATGTGTTTAAATGTCCTTGTGAGACTTTTTTTCCCCATTATCTCAATTATATATGGCATATGTACTTGAAAAATGTGTGTGTATACTTCACATGGGTATGTCAGGAGATACTGGCACGTGCAAACAGCACCGTGTTGTCTGCAAGCCCTGCTTCTGACACCTACACACTCGTTTTGCCAGTATGTCTATCAACAACTGTACATATTTTTTTCACAAAAGATGGGTCAAGTTTACATCCGTGGTCTCTCTTTTTCCTAACAAATATATGATAACATAACTTTTTTCTTCTTTCAAAGATTTGTTACCAAAGCCCACTGCATTTCTTTGCCAGGGAAGTAACAGGGCAATTTTAAAAGATTGTGAAAGTGTTAATACTTCTCGTATTACACTCTGCTTACCCTGAAGAAGGTACAGACGTCTTCCTTTTCTCACATTTTTCCCTGCTTCTTTCCAGCTTTCTCAGAGTGTTTTCATGAGGCAGACTCTATGTCATCCAATTATTTCCTGAAGAAAACTAGAGAGATAAGCCTTTGAAAGCCGAGCCAGAACTCCAGATTTCTCTCACTGTATTAAATCATACTGATCAAAACCACAGAAAGATATAGAAGCACAAAATTAATAGTGGGACAGAGAGAGTGGGAAATGGGGATTCCTGGATGTAATATCGCATGAGATGAGACCGTCCAATATCAAGTAAATTTATTTGGACAGAGAGGGAATTACTGGGTGTGTAATACTGATTAACTATGTTGGAGAGAGACCTTGCCAAGCAGCGTGTTTTGGTCAGCCTCTTTATAAAGAAGAATAGGAATGTAGGTAGAAGGTTAAATATTTTTAAGAAAGAAGTGCATCACTCCTCTTGTTAGATAATCCCTGGGCATCATCTGCATGAACCAGAGCAGCACAGTTCATTTCTGGGAAGGAGTCTGACCCAGCTCCCATGACCAAGAGATTTCTCTTTTACCCTGCTAAAATGTTTGGAGGGATATTTATTGACATGAATGAGATTGTGCGTAAATGTATCCGAGATCCTAAGCATTTAGTGTTGTTTAAGCTCCTTATACTGCAAAGACACAGTATTTTTTCAGTGCCATATCCACTGAAAAACGTTTGCTTGAGGAAAATATACTAGGTCGTAGGTCAGACTCTGGGAAAAAAACATATTGCCTATTAAATCCACAGTCATACAATTTTTCCTTTCCTACTTAAGGCACATGGACAATAGTTTTAAACCCAAAAAAGGCTTTAAAAAATGTCTAATGCACAGAGCATCCCTAATTACATTTTTTCCCAGCATGAGACTTTGTATGCCACTTTAGCCTGACAAGTCCTGACTCCCAACTTGGATGAACTCTGGAAGTGTTTCTCACTGCCATGCACTCCTCTCACAAAAGCGTTCGAGCAAGCTATAAAGCAATACACAAATCACCAAGCACTCTGGTGGGGAGGCCTCGTAATTTCAGGCTGTTTGGGAGATGAGTATCAGCTGGGTTAGAGTATCGCCAGCAAACCAGAAAACAGTTTCGAAAGAAGCTTGTATAAGGCCATAAAGGCACACATCAGCTCTTTAAATAGGCGAGAGGCTCTGGGGGAGCATTTCTGCATGATCATGGAACTGTTTTATCAGAAAGCCCTCGCACTTTTAATTTTACTTATGACTATCTTTTGCTTTATTAGGCTATATTTAGATATAGTCTAAATTCTCAGCTTTCCACAGCTCTTTCAAGGTATAGCTGTTTGTATTAAAAGTGAAATTAAATCACCCATGTAGGACTATGGTCTTTGTGAGAAGGATCAAGGGGCTGGGATAAAGCAGCTCAGGGAGATGCCATCCTTTCCCTGTGGGCACAGAGCTCTGGGCAGCATTTCGGGGGCTGCCCTGTGCCTGTTTCCTGGGTGATCTCCTGGTCTCCAACATGCACCTGAAATCCTGGTGCCTGGGTGAATATCCACATGACTCCACCTGAATATATATTTTTTCCGCAATTGATAGCCGGGATGTACTTGGATGTTATGGAATATAATGTATTTTTCAGATGCTGCTCTTTAATTATCAGGGAAGAGACTGACACTGAGCAAGTGCAGCCCAGTGAGTAAGGCAGTAAAGCATGCCCACATGTGTGCGTGGGGGTTTGGTAGTCAGGAGGGCAGGGCAGCCAGAGACCTAGGTAGTCCTTGCAGCACAGATCAGTGCTCAGCAAGCTTTCTGGGGGACCGCTTTGCTCATGCCTGGGCTTGGACCCCCAGCAATTCCTCCATCCTGGGGGTGCCCTTTGTCCTTGCAGCACAGCAGCTGCAGGACACCGACACGCAGCCGCCAGAGCCAGGGGTCAACCTGCCTCCAGCCTTTCCATGGGCTACCGAGGCCAGAAATTCCCATCTGTAATGCAGGGGCAGCCTAGCTTCGCCCCCCTTGGACGCTTTGAGTGGATACACAAGTCCTTTCAATTTGCAGAAATCTCTGGTGTGTTACTAATCACCAGTTTTGAGGGGAACTCATTAGGGACATCACCAAGTGAAAAAGATTGGTGTTGCACCGCTTTGTGATGTTAAAAGTCAAAAAGTTCTCCACAGTAAAATGATAAAGCAATGCTTAAAGTAACAAGGCCTTGACATCTCCTTCCTAATGCCATATACTCTACCTACTGCGGGAATGATGCTTGCTCAGAGCGTATATTTTGGCTAGCAAAAATCCTGTGTGCTTTAACATTATTTATGTCTGTTTTTCTCCAGAGGTCTTTTTGGTCAGGATTGTGATTTATGTTGTTTTTATTCCAGCTACGCAGGAGATTCTTTGACGGATTACACTCTCAACAAACTCCAACTCGAGAAGAAGAATGACAGCTAAGAGACTTAAACCAGACGTCTCACCATCCTGGAAAGGAACTGGCTGCCAGTATTCGGAATTTTTTTAATACTCTACCTCCCTCTGCTGTTACCAGCGAGAAGTTCCTCGACAATGGGAAATCATGTACTTGCGGCTTCAATTTCCATGCTCTCGCTCCTGGCGATGATGGGAGACACGGACAGTAAAACAGACAGTTCCTTCATGATCGACTCCGACCCCAGCCGCTGCATGAGGCATCACTACGTCGACTCCATCAGCCACCCCCTGTACAAGTGTAGCTCAAAGGTAAGGGCTGCCCTCGCCCCTTTGCAGCAGGGTGCTGCGGCAGCAGAGCTGTTAAAATGAGCCATTTGGGGTGATTTTTCTCTGCGCAAATTTCTTGCTACCAAAATCCAGCTGTGGAGACATACAGATGTAGAGACATCTCTGTGTGTGCATCAGAACTGGGCCTGGAGAGAAAGGCTCTTGAGCCTCTTTTCACTTTCTCAAAAGGAAAACAACACCGTGATGGTAAAGCTAACACGCAGTGAATTATAGGGTTCAAAGGAGCATGTCGGGGTCTCAGCCACCAGCACCAAGGAGATGGGGTAGTTTAGAAGTTTAGATCATCCCAGTCACCCCCTCCTTCAAGTGAGTCTTTAATCCAGAGTATGTAAACTTACAACTTTTGAGGTCAAGTGCTGAGATAAAGAACCAAGCTCTAAAATGGTAATGAGAAGAGAATGTAAAAAACATTGCTATTTTTTTTTCCCCATTTAGTCTCTGGGCCTTTGTTTCCATGCAGAATGTCCATTGGATGTTTACTGTAGGGCTTAGGAACAGAAGGAAATTCAAGATTGCCTTTCATTTGAGATTTCAAGCCTGAAAAAATTTGTGCCAAAATGGTTTAGCGGCCTGCTCATGTAACCTACAGTCATTTATTTCACTGCATGGAGAAAAAGAATGGGGAGAAAAACTGGGAAAATCCTTGCTGGTCCCTTTCATCTTCCTAATTTGTTCCAGCTGAGTTAACCCAGTGTGTATTCAGATGTATGGTCTCTTTGGGCCATGCCTCTGTCCCACAGAAAGTGGCTTTGCCTTAAGCACCCACATCCCTGGGTTAACAGAAGGGAACAAGGGCCAGCACTGACACTTTTGCCAGCCCTGTGTTGGGTAAGAGAGCGATGGAAGGCGGGGGGAGGGGGGAGATCAGAGGCTTTTGCCCTACTGCTCTTGAGTTCAAACAGTAAAATTGCACATTATTTGTGATGCAGGAGAGATCTGTTGTTTTGCTCTTAGGCTAGAATAGACCTTCTTACCACCTGGGAAACATCCAGCATTAACATACAGAACTGCAGAGATGCATCTCTTGGTGCAATATTGATTTTATTGCAGTTGACTCCAGTGCAAGGCAAAGGTGAAAAGCGTGGGTGGAGTGGGTGTTTGTTACAGTCTGGCAGGGGGGTGCTAAGCAGTCCTCCCCTTACCTGGAAATTCGGATCACCTATTACACCTGAGAAGCCATAGCTACCATGATGGTTTGGTCCAGGAGAGAGATGCTCTACCCAGCTGGCCCTTGCTCTAGCCATGAGGCTGCTGCTCCCCCCTCCCAGACCCACAGCTCCACGCACTCCTGCCTGCCCCACGGTCAGCCTGTGCCTCACCCTTGGCCATGCTCTTCTTCCCTGCTTGGGGCATTGCTTCCTACACAGCCCAAGGAAGGAAGAAAGGAAAGAAAGAAGGATGGAAGGAAGGAAGGAAGGAAGGAAGGAAGGAAGGAAGGAAGGAAGGAAGGAAGGAAGGAAGGAAACCCAACGACAACTCAACTTCTTAACACCGCTAATGACAGAGAAAAGCAATGGGACCTTTAGGAGCAGGACTGGTGGAAATGAGAACGGACAGGGCATTGTAATGGAAAACATATTATTTCAAAACTGAGCTTTGAGAAAAAAGCTGTTGCTATAATAATTTGTAACTCTGACTGCAAAAATGTCAGTGACTTTTTTTTAAATTAAGCCTTTAATGAAAATCATGTTTGAAAATATTCCAAAATATTCCCAAATTCCACAACTGTTTCAAGAACAGTTTTTTAACAATACCACAAGTTGTATGGTCTTTCTCATGCAGTGGAAAATGAAAACAGTTTCCATATCAAGTGAAATAATTTTGACATTCCCTAGAAAACTTCTCCCTGTTTGTTAAATCAAGCTCTTTTTTTTTTTTTTTAAGGTCTCAGGGTTCTGAATCATCCTGCTAGACATATGGCTTCTGTTCTGGAGGTAGCATGGAAACACAGGCCAATATTAGACTTACTAATGAAAATTAGACACAATGTCTGTACCTATATATATTGTGATAAAACATAAACAAGTCAAAAAAAGGAAGGTTCTGCAGGATTAGCTGTAAGAACTGTGGTACCTCTTGTTTCCACTGAGTTTCCATCGTGAAGCTTGGACCAACAATTGATGTCAAGCAGAGACTTTTTTGGCATGATATACTGGTTCCACCGAGCCCTCCTTTTTCACTCCCTATGTTTTCCCTTTTAGTGCAGCATAAAATTACAGAAGTTAAAAATGGCTTCAGAGATGGCAAGATGTATTATGCTTGCTGTCCATCTTGGTTAGGAAAGGATTATGTCCGCAGTGCTTCTCTGTGGAGGCTGCCAATTGTACCCACATGGGAAGTAGTTTTGTTACATTTGGAAACATCCACCCAATATAATTTAATCATTAAAATCCCTCTTGCTTTTGACCTCAGGCAGATGTTGAAAGCAGGTTTCCAAAGCCTTCAGAAACACAGTCCATTATAGTAACAGCATGTATAAAAAAGACACCAAGGAGGAATGGAAGAAGGTCATTTGTTCCTGAAAAAGCGTTTTCCTTTGACTTCAAGGAAATGCTTCTGGCAGCTCATGGGGCAGTGCCTTTCCTGACCATATTGGATTCTGCGTGACCTCTGTCACAGGGACCCACTGGTCTTCCATGTGCCGGATCACCTTGCTGCTGCAACCAGAGCCCCCTAAATTACAATATTGGCTGTCACAAGTGCTTCCTCCAGATGTGCCAGAAGAGCGCTACCGCTGACAGCCTCGCACTAAAGAATCCAGCCCAGAGAGACACGGACCAGATGAAGAAAGATTTAGCAAATGTTTGAAGACGTTTGCTCTTGAGGTAGCTCAGGAGATTTTTCAGTAACGCCTGCTCGCAGCCAGGCCGCAGATACCATGTGAAAGTCTGCTCTCATTCATCTCAGCCCATCTGCTTTTGGGCCTCAGCTTGCTGCAGAAGAGGACTACAAACGCTGTTAATATCAAACCAGTTCACAACTTCTGAATTTCCAGAGCACAGCCCAAATGATCAGAGTCAAATATTGCCTCAGATTTAGGTTGCTCTCTTTTGTGGCCTTCCAGATACCTATGAGACCGCTGACGTTAAGTAAGAAAACATGGTTTTCCCTAGCTGCTCATGCCCGTGAGACCCCTCGCCGTTCCCACGTTGTAGCACACCGCGCTTCCGGATCCAGCATCGCAAGGTGACACGCACAGGCTCACATGTGCAGGGGACGAGGGAAGCCAAGGGGCACGCATATCGGGTTATAAAATACCCACACGTTTTTACTATATATACACCCACTGTATTACTGTGCTATGGCATCATAGCATTACTAATTATTTAGGCGATAATCTCTATTGTACTATAGTATACGATGCAATAAGCAGCTGGTGCAATTGATTAAATGGCAAAGCAAAGCGTTTAAAGTACATGCTATTTCCAGCTCATTTGCACACCTGCCAAAATCCACTGGTGCTGTTCTGGATTTATGAGGAGGAGGTTACATTTTGCTGAGGACTTCAGGTTAGCCCATAAGTCTAGAAAGCTATCAAAATGGGAAAGCTGAAATTTTTTTATCCTTCAGGTTTGACTTGATATCCATGGTGCTGTGCCATTTGTAAAAATTTACACTGTCATCCAAAAACAAGGCATAAAACCAACACTGTGTAATTTTACATTATATGAATACTGACTGTACCCTTATGAAAAACTAAGTAGCCAGCAAAATCTGAGATTAACATTAGAGTCCCCACCAAATAAAACATGTTTTTAAAGACAAGGCTTACCAAGCAATTATAAATGCAGTTGCCCATTGAAGAAATATTGACTGGTTTTGCATGAGAAAGCTCTCTGTTCATAAGAAATGTATTGAGACACAGATATTGGCACATCAGATAATTCTGCCCTATAATTACACTGCTGCACTGTAGTCCTTAATCCTGTTCCTCAGGGGTTGGTTGGTTTTTTTCCTGACATTTTTGAAAGTACCTGCAGATACAGAAGCAGATGCGCTTCATAAAAAATCCTTAGGGTAACGGTACCAGCAGTGACTCACAGTTCCGGCTCCAGAAGCATCAGCCACTAGAAGTCACCTGCACCACACAGCAATGTCACGTTTGGGCTGAAATCACAGCGTCATAGAAATGTTGGTTGGAAGGGATTCTGGAGGTCCTCTGAACCTCCCCAAAAGCAACCTGTGGCCGTTGCACATCCCCTGTTGCCACTCCTGAGGCGTATTTGGCTCCAGTGTCCTTGCAACTCCCCTTTGAGCAGCTGCCAGCTGCCATCAGATTGCTCTTCACCCTCCTCTTCAGCTGAATGCATGGGAATAGCCTGTGACAGCGCATGCTCACAGTCCAGTGACCTGGTCCAAGTGGGGGACCTAAAGAGAGCTGTCAAGATGCAGGGAAGGAAAATTTTTTAAATGTCCCAATCTTTTGTCTTTCCTTGAAGCTCTTCACCAGCTGCTTGCCTGTCACTATGGGAAGTGAGTTTTGTTTAGCAGGAACAAAAGTGGATCTTTACACTAAAGACACTGGTATCAAGGAGCTTGACATAGCTGATACATCTAAAGCCAGGGTGTGGCTCAACAGTATGCTGAAATTCTCTTCCCACCACATTACTACTAACAGCTAAAGTGAATTTGCTTATGAGTAGGCAGCATCACAGTAAAGGGACCATAAATTTATGCTACAAATCATGAAGAATGGTGAATTTATTGGAGAGACACAAGAACCCATCTTTTAATCAAACTGAGGTACAAGACTGTACCAACCCCGATCATCAGCTCATGAAGACATCTTCCTTGTGATCTCTCTGTGTTGACTGAAGTGTACTTCTTAATATTTTAATACATTTCCAAGGAAACCATTTAGCATGGAATTACTCTTGGAAGAGGCATTTTCATGCACTGTACGAAGTATGTTCTTTATGGATGACCAGTGCTTTTCCCATGGACACAGGCAGAGCTGGCATTTCCTACTTTATACCAGGAATATTCTGTCTTGTCTTTCTCTCTCATCTTTCCTCACGATTCTGACTAAAGACAAAACATTTGACATACCTGCTTGCAAGACTTGGAGATTTGCAGCCAATTGAACATGTGTAGTGAAAGAAGCTTAGAAGTGTTTAATATTGTAAAATACTTGCTGCCATATCCATAGTTATCCTTTTAGATTGTCTGGAAAAAAACATGAGATATGGGTAGCATGGTTAAAATGTAATTTTCTTCCTTGGTTATAGGCTAGACTTATGACTGTTTTATTGCTTACTTTCTCACCTCTGTCATATTTTGAACTTGTTGGGGTGATAAAACAAATTGATTTTGAAGCTTGTGTTGGTTAATGAGAAATAGCTGATCTGGACTTAAATAATATTTCATTCCCCATGAAGGTGGAAGAGTTTGTTGAAACTTATTCAACACTTTATCCCGTTATCAAGGCAATAGCAGCTGTTTCATGGTTTCCTGAGCTTTAGAAGATCCTTTCCATATTTTCTGTAGAGCTTAGGAGACTTTACCCATCTCTTCTGCTCAACAAGGGGCTGTTGGGAAGGGAAGTAGGTGATGCCCTGGGGGCTCTGCTTCCTTAGTGCCTCTCACTGTGCAAGGTTCCTTCCTCTGATCACAGCTCAGTCGGTGAATTCAGGAGGAGAAGAACCATGGAGCCCGCACTGCCTGTGGAAAATCTCAGTAGTGAACCCTCATGTTTGGCAATGAGATAATCTTGTTTACATTTTCACTGCCTTACACTGTACAATGCTTTTTATACAGGTACATCTGATGCAATTATATATATATACACACACATATAATTGCAAATACATAGTCAAGGTGATCTTTGTAAAAGAAGCTAGAAGCTTACTTCTTTAGAAGCAATAAACTAAGCATCTTCCTTACATTTCTACTTTATATGTTTATATATCTAAGCCTGAGACCAGTTCTGCTGGTCACCAGTATACACTCAAACCATTGGAAAGTATCCAACCAAAGTACTGGTCTGGCTGGTGATTTGAGGGCTCAGCTGCCATAAATCTGGGGTCAGCAAGTCACAGTTGCAGTCACTGTGCCTGGAAAGCAGGGCTGGATGTGATCATTTGGAGCCCTGAGGGCAGCTTTCAGAAAACCAGGCCCCATAGCCCTTATCGGTGTCGGTGCCTGGGACTCCCAGAGGAGACTCCCTTCCCCTCCAGCCCCCATTACTGCCTCCGTTCTCCCAGACACAGCTCGGGGGCAATGCACTGTGTGGGGCTGGGTGCCCTCGTCGAGGTGGGGAGAGGCAGTAAGTGAAGAAAGACCAGCCAGACTGGAAGGAGGTACGCATCTGCTGGTGTTAGCTGCATGCTGGCAGCCATGGGGGGCACATTTCCTAAACCCGTCTCTCGTCCTTTGCAGATGGTGCTGCTGGCTCGCTGCGAAGGGCGCTGCAGCCAGACGTCACGCTCGGAGCCGATGGTTTCTTTCAGCACCGTCCTGAAGCAGCCTTTCCGCTCCACCTGCCACTGCTGCCGGCCCCAGACCTCCAAGCTGAAGGCCATGCGGTTGCGATGCTCGGGGGGCATGCGGCTCACTGCCACCTACCGCTACATCCTCTCCTGCCACTGCGAGGAGTGCAACTCCTAGGGATGTACCTGCCACAGCAGAGGGGGGACCGGGATGCTGCTACTGGGGGAAGGCTCCCAAGAAGTCACCCGAGGTGAGGCCGGCGCTCCCAGCGTGCAACTGCAGTGAGGACAGGACTAACCAGGCTGGATGGGATCTGAGAGCTAAAGCGTAAAATACCCTGGGGCCCTTGAGGGGCTGGTACCAACGCATGGGCTGTGACAAAGGCGAAAGCATGAGGACTTGTTTTTAAGAAGCCTTTCTTTTTTCTGAAAGGATATTTTTGTGAGTTTCTTCTTTTTCAGGCTCAGCTCAGACTACAGAGAGGTGCTTTTACTTTAGGTAGGGGCAGCAGGGGAAAAGAGGAAGGTCAGCTGGATGACAGCACTGCACTCTGGAAGCTGGCGTTCGGACAGAGGATGGCCATCAGTTCCCACATACAATCTCTTAACCTACCAATTTATTCTCAGTCTCACGGTTATATTGGCCTTCAGAACAAACTCTGTTGTTGGCAAGGGTTATCTGTTACTGATCTAGCAGCCAAGTGCTGGGTAACTTTAACTGTGGTTTAGCAGAAATTACAAATAAATCATTGAAAAGTGAACTGGATATGAAATGTCGTGCTGGGATTGCCCAGCCCTAGCCTGCTGAAATGTTTATTTGCAGTGTGCAGCATCAGAGTTCAGTGACTAAGCGACTCTGGAGAAGCGAAAGGTCATGAGACTCATTATTCCCCTCTAAAAGCCTGGAAAAGTGACACATCACATCTGTCACTAAAGCCATTATTCAAACACTAAAAACTAATCAAAGATTAAAATGACATGTACTAAATGGAGTCTTTTCTTAACTTGGGTAGACCTGTTGGTGTACAGAGCCAGAGCCACCAAAGCAATGACCAGAGCCACCAAACCAATGACCAAACCTAAGACTTATTTTTGTCTATAGCTCTTAAGCCACGGAGCACCATTTTGCCTTTTAAAGGCAGGCGATCCCAGACACAGGGGAATCACACTGACATGCCCATAGGAAGTTCGAGGCAGAGTTTGAGTCCCAGCATTATCCAGTGGAGCACTAAGACTGTGTTTCAATTTACCTAATGATCTGCTACTTGGGGTCCTGGTTGACTCACCATCTGGCTTGGCGGGTGCTTGGGGAATGGTGCAGCTCTTGGCTGGTCCATAAGCTCACGCATCATTTGTGGGCACACAGGGCTGCAGGAGGCTGTGGCAGGGTTAGCACGAGCCCAGACCTCACCTGTAGGTGAAGCTGTCCCACAGCCAGGCCATCAGAGCTGCGGGGTCCTGCAGAACAGGGGTAGCCAGCGCTTCTCAGTAAGGAGCAATTGAGGCCATGAGCTGCTTTCCCCTGTAGGACCATTGCAGAAATAAATGCCTCAAGGAGCTGAATGAAATGCAGTGATTGATAGGGTGAAAGGATCTCAAAATAGCAAAGCATCCCAAGTTTTGGAATGGTATTTGCAGAGAAACTCTGTCACACCTCCATTAACATGAGGTTTTAGGAAGGTTCATTCATAGTCTCTCATGACTGCAAGAAAACAACATAATGTATTACAGTTCTTATCTCTTTAAACATCAGCATATCCAGTCAGTCAGCAATATGTCTGTGATGTTCACATAAACCCAGTTAAGCCAATTTTTTGAGAGAAGTCATGAAGATGTTGAGAGCATCTTTGCTGTGTAAGGATTCACGGTCAGTGCACTTCCTACCCCTCAGTAGCATCCGCGTGCATGGTCCCACAGTTATTCTCTGGGACAGACTGGAGCAGCAATGTCTGGCAGGGCCCCATGGTAAGGAGGGGGAAGTCCTACCCAAGCCCAGTGTTTGGTCCATCTATTCAACGCCATCCAGTCTGTCTGCAGCAAATGCCATACGCAGCAACTTGAGGATGCACACTGGTGTTGCAGGGGATCCCCAAGGGTCTGCCAGGGAGGGCGGTCATCCTGTGGTCTACATAGGAGTTATACTGTGGCTGCTCAGGCAAAGCCAAATTCCTTCGCCCCTGCCTCCTCATGATGAATATGCATGGAATGTGAAGGCAGGCAGGTGACAGACACTGACCTTGCAAGCCAAATCCTGGAGGAGGGTGGCAGTCAGTAGTGGAAAGCAATGGGGGACAGGTACACCCGCAGACGCCAGTTAGAGAGGTTTGTGATACATGGGAAGGACCATCTCTGTCTTCTGGAGGTGACTTGGAGACGGCCGGTTTTCAACAACACAGAGCTGTGGGCAAGCAAAAGGGTGAATCAAACTGTCAGAAGCTGAGGGGCTCAGATTAAAATGTCAAAACCGGGAGTCATGAGCCCCAGTGAGTTCATTAGACACCATGCGTTTTTTCAGTGCTGTCAGTCATTCTTTTCACATCTGATGCCTGGTCTCAACATCAAAGGGCGAGCGAAGGGAGCGTGAGCTGGGCATTATCACCAGACTACTTTATATGAAAGATCATATGTGCGCCCCTTTTCCACTCTCTTTCAACCTCCAGCATCTAAAAATCCCATTAACCAAAAAAGCACCACCCCCTACTGTTAATTATATATAGAAAATTCCAGTCCTTATCCAAAACATCAGCAATACTTTTGATAACCAAGTAACTATACTGCAAAATATGCGTGACCTCTAAGCGTGGGTATAGAGCCTGCTGCACACAGGCATTGCTATGCCGTTATCTAAGGAATGGAGAATGTTTGAAGGGTAACTGCTATAGCCAGCGTTACCTCCCCCCGGGTCATGCTGCCACTGGCCTCCTTTGCTGGTGCAAAATGGGATGCCGAGGGGTTGTGACACAAAATTCGGGTGACGATTTGTGGTGCTTCTGCATGGCTGCAAGTGGCTCTGCTGGCCGGGGTGGGACGTGGCAGAGTGGCGTGGCCCCGATCACAGCCCTCTGGTAAGGAGAAAGGAGGGATTTGAGCACAGACCATGCCTGAGCTGATTTAGGAAAAAAGAGAATATTTATAGTGAGAGAAGAGCTTGGCTGGTATTTATTCCCACATCCCCCCGCTATCACAGTGCCAGAGCTATAATTGCTCAAATCGGTCTCACAGAAGATATTCGTGTTTCAACAAAACCTTTTTTTTTCCCTCCCTCTCACACCCCACATTCCTTCCACTTTTGCTTGGTTCCTCTAATGCAATCATCGCCTTGTGACCGCAAAGGCTGTTGCCAGGCGTAAATGTTGAGGTGAATTCAACATTACCTAATTTAACTGTTAGGCTGAATAAATGCACAGAAGGAATATAACAGAAAATATGAATGACAAGACAAAACATACCTGTAAATAGCTAGAACTGAATATTAAACAATGAATCAAACTTTCAAATTCTCCTCTTGGCTTTGTCAGGCAATCTTCTTATTAAGATTTAAGAAAAGGAGGAGCTATTCCTCAAAACCAAATTCCCTGAAGTCACTTATAAATCTCTATTTCGATACTTTTTATCAGTGTTTTAGGCAACTAAGTGCTGAATGAAGCACCCAGGTGCTACTTGTTAAAATTCAGGAGGTGTATTGAAGCAAAAGAAAATGAGGGTTCAGGTAGAAACTACAAGATGTGGCTCATGGTGAAAAGAGTCTAAATGGCACTTGGAGATTAAATGGCTTCCTGATTTCTTAGCCTGACATCACTCTGGGCACTTAGGCTTTGTGTTTTAAGCCAGACTACCATGTACATGCTGCTTAAACTTGAACAACAGAGAGGGCAATATCTAGTTGTCCAGATAATGTTAAGGGGCTTTTTCTTTGCTAAAGCATCCTCTCACTGGGACTCAAATCTCCCTGTGCCTCACCCTTCAAGCACCACCTTCCCTCACAGACAGGCTGGCTCAGGTGTGACCATCCTGTGGCTTGCTCAAGATGAGATGTGATACAGACCTTCAACTGTCACCACCCTATGCCTGCTTTTCTTTTGATGAAGTTTCTGAATTCAGTTTGGCTTACTTTTGAAAGCCACCTTCCCCAGCAGTGGTGGTGTTACATTTCGGTTGGAGGGATTGCACTCATGGAGACCAGAGGGAAACACTAGACCCTTGCTGGTACCCTTTGCTTGTAAGAAAAGCCTTAAAATGCCAAAGCATTTTGTGCCTATCAGAAATAATCTGAGATTTGCCACCGTGACCTAGCAAATTTGAATTATTCTGTTCCCAGTTTCAGAGGGTCTATTAAGCACTTAAGGCTGCACAGATATAAAACCGGTTTGCTGGTTCAAGCCTCATATGAATCATAAACCTGAAGAACTCACTGCTTTCTTGGGGATGTTGCCACTGACTTTCCTTACACCTCACCTTGCCCTCTGAACTTGGAGGACTTCTACCAGACAAGATCCTGAGCCTGGCTGGCTCCCACCAGCCTTTATCAGGGCTTTGGTAAAGTACTGGCAGAGTGCTTGTGGCAATAACGGAGAGAAGTTGTTCACTGGCATCCACGGTACACCCCGGGGTGTGCTGGGCCTTCACGCGAGCCTTACAGGAGACCTATTTGCCAAGTCCTTGCAGATCTACCATGAAAACCTGAAGCTCAGGCAGGACTGTGTAGATTGCAGCCAGAATATTTTTGAGAAGGAAGAGAAAAATAAAAGAACAGAGGTTGCTGTCTCGTAGGAATAGCCCAATGCTCTGCTGCTCTGTGTGTCTAATCTCAGTTTTCAGGACCCGATATGGGAAGATAGATGCCACTGAGCTCCCTTCTGTGGGCAAGTGGTTTTTCAGTGCCCGGTCCTACATGTTTAAAGGCAGGGGTTTCTTACTGAATTTGTGAAACGGAAGTAAGCCCTCTAGGAAACAGGGGCCTGCTTAGCAATGATTTTTTCCTCTGACTTGGGCCATAAGTATTTTTGAAAAATCCAAATGCTATTAAGAAAGTCAGTGTAAGGGGGGGTGGGGGTGGGGAGGAGGATGTGTCTTACTTTCTTTGACTCTGTAGTTATATAAAATACAAGGGCTGTGGAAAAAGAAAAAAAGATAGATTGCTTTATAGCTAACAGGTATTGAAACAGACAATCTTACAGA